TATATATAATACGAAATAAAATTTATTGTTGTTCTATAGACGCAAAAGCAAACGAGTTATTGTTGTTCTATAAGAGGATCAATGTTTTTAGGTTGGTTTAGAGTTCAATGTTTGGGTTTAATTCCGGTTTACAGATGTTTTCCGGTTCAGTCTAACCGCGAGATTTAACCCGGACTAATCTTTTTTGGTTAGTTCGTTTTGTTTCTGTTAGTTAAAACTTCAACAAATCGAATCATAACTTAGACCGATGTCAGGGAACATATACCATTTTTGCGGGGCTATAAATATTTCATTTTGGTATACGTAGAAGGGCTATATAATAAGTATTTGATATTTCAAAATTTATGTATTTTCTTTATAAAAAAAATTATATATGTATTTTTAAACGTACCCGTGCATGTTGATCCCATTATTTCATTCGATCATTTATCAGCGTCATTCTCTTCCACAAAATGATAATTGATTGCATTGCACAATCGATGGGTCCAATAGTTTATTCGAGACTTAAAGACAGCCGCAACTAGGTTATTCTTGAACTTATTTTTTTTTATATTTAAAATTCCACGTAATAGATTAAAATATCATGCGGTCGGTGATATATTCCTTTGTATTTGATATAGATATGGAAATTTTCGAATTCAATCAAATACTTTATAGATCACAATATTCTTAAAAGTATATGTATATATGTTCACTTTTTTCGTATTGAAAATCCTTTTTTTTTTTTGTATGTTCGTGTTGAAAATCTTGTAGACGTTGAAGAAAATAAATTTGAAACAAGTTAAATATATTAAAATTATGATAGATATATAGTCCCCCCCTTGTTTTAACTGAAAAATTATGTATATCAATGTATATAAACATATACGTATATAATATATTCCTAGAAGAAATTCGAGTTCGTGTGGAACTGCATAGTCCTTGTGAAATTGTTGCATGAAAATGGTCCACGTCATTTCATTTCTGTAAGTGTAAAACGTGCGTCATTTCCGTACGGATAAAGGAACTCCTCAAGTCTCTCTCACACGTACAATTAATGGCTTTGGGGTCCCTTTCAAAAACAAAAATATTTAAGAAAACCCCCGCTATTTAGGAATTTCTTTTAAAAAAACCCTAACCTTTAATAAATCGAGAACATGTTTCCGAATTACGCTAATATATTAATATGTCTATGGCTCTAACCCACATTGATTACAATAAAAGCCGTAAATAATTTTTATTAGACAGTTTAAACAACTTCCATTGATTTTTTTATGATAAATAGACCGTCATAATAATTTTGTTCGCTCTTGATTATATAGTAAAAATAGTCCCAAGATTTCAACCGAACTAGTATATAATATATTAACTTTTTTATGCAACTCTATATAGTTAGTGAGGTGTTATCTTATAATCATTAATATTTAAGCATAGAATAAACAATAAATAATACTAATTTTATAAATAAACAATAAATTGTTGGCATCGTGACGGACTAGCTATCTTCGATCGTATTGCTAAGATCAAGTTACAACCAAAACTACATAGAAAGAAGAAACGTCATGTATTTTATTTATTTTTTTGATTATAAATAAATAATACTTTAAATTTTATAACTAAAAAAAACACTATGTGAAATTGGGTTTTTAAAGGGCTTACATACTTTGGGCTTTCCTAATTAATTAGCCCAGTGGTGCTTATTGAATTGGTGGCTTACGTCACGGTGGCCTAACCCATGTCTGGCAATCTGTGAACCTATAAATACCCGTTTCATTGCACTCTTCATCTTCTTCGTCGTTTCCGAAAGAGAGAAAGAGGAAGAGGAGGAGGAGGAGGGAGGGAGAAGGGTATGGGAGTGGATTACTACAGGGCTCTTCTGGTGGATCGCAATGCCAGCGACGAAGAGCTCAAAAGGGCTTATCGCAAGCTCGCCATGAAATGGCATCCCGACAAAAACCCTAACAACAAAACCCACGCCGAGGCCAAATTCAAGCAGATTTCCGAAGCTTACGATGTGGGTGAATCACCGCTCTTTTCTTCTCCAGTTTCCGTCGATGTTTCCCCTGTTTTGAGTGCTGTTTTTTTTTTGTTTTTCTCGGTTTAAGGTTTTGAGTGATCCGCAAAAGCGAGCGGATTACGATCGGTACGGCGGGGTGAGGATGAAGGCGCAGGCTCCGTCGCCGCCCTCGGGTGGAGATTCGTACTTTTCGTTCTACTCGAGGAGCGCCGATGATATTTTCGCCGAGCTTTTCGGTTCATCGACCCGTTTCGGCAATGTCGGCGGCGGAGCAGCAGCTGCTTCGACATTCCCGAGATCTACGTACGACGATATCTTCGGGGCGTTTAGGTCGTCGGGCCATGGAGGATCCTCCGCCGCAGCACTTAAGGCGACGCCTATAGAACAGAATCTGTGGTGCAGTTTGGAGGAATTGTACACTGGAACTACGAAGAAGATGAAGATTTCCAGGGACGTGTTTGATCAATCTGGGTAAGTTTTGTGATTTTGGACATATTTAACGTGACAAATCTCTGATGTGCATTGAACTGAAACTGTTCCTTGGTGTTTAAGCCTTGCCTTGGTTGTTGTATATATACACTTCCATTGGCCAAATTAAGAAACTAGTTAGCCTTGGCAGAGATATTTGTCCGCTGAAAAACTAAGTCACTGAAGCTAATGCCTTTTTGAGTTCTATCAGATTAAATTGCAGTCTGCTACTTACTACTTAGCAGTAGAGAATCTCTGAATTTGTTTTTTTATTTCGTTACCTTGCTTGATTCGATATAGTTTTCGTGGTTAATACCCTTGTAGTTCTTGATTTGTCATTGCTTTCTTGTTGGATTATCTTGTATCGGCATCGAAATCGCGAGCTCTTAGAGCTTGTTTGCAAGTGATCCGAACGGTACTCAGCCTTAACTTATAAAGGGTGTAATTGATTGTTTATCTTTATGGTTTTGTTTCAAGATTTGTGTTATGTGCAAACCCTTGATAGGTCAGTGAAGTTCTCTTTCTCATCATAAAGTTTGCCATTTGTTGTTGAATGGCATGGATTTCATTCTTCTGTTATGCTCATCTTTTTATAAATCTATACAACATTCTTAAATATAATTATTAACTTCTCTGCGTATATATAAAACACACTCACACCACATTTCCTCTGTTTTCCTTTCCAGGAGAACCGTCACAGTGCACGAGATCCTGAGGATAGAGGTGAAGCCCGGATGGAAGAAAGGGACGAAGATCACGTTCCAGGAAAAGGGCAACGAGAAAACAGGCACTGTACCTGCAGATCTCGTCTTCACCATTGTCGAGAAAGATCATAACGTCTTCCGGAGAGAGAGCAACGATCTTGTCGTGACCCACAAGATAACTCTTTCCGAAGCCCTCACGGGTTACACAGCTCGGGTCACGACTATTGATGGCAGGACACTGAGAATTCCCATCGATAGAGTCATCAATCCTTCGTATGAAGCAGTCGTGAAGGGCGAGGGGATGCCATTGCCGAAAGACCCTTCTAAAAGAGGTAACTTGAGAATCAAATTCATCGTTAAGTTCCCTTCTAAGCTTACCCAGGAGCAGAAAAATGGCGTCAAACGTTTCTTATGATCCCTGAAGAAAATTCTTTTCATTTTTTTTTCTATTAGTAATAAGATTGCTTTAGGTTATTGTTTGAAGAGCTTATTCTTTTGTCCTTAAGGTCTTAGGAGACTAGGAATTGTAGACAATAAAGAGGAAATGTGATTTTCTCCTCATTTATGATCTGATTATCTGTTTAATTCAGATTCGGAAAATCGACTGTAATGGGTTTATAGATAATTTCATAAGTCCAATGCTCTCTCTCTCTCTCTCTCTCTCTCTCTCTCTCTCTCTCTCTCTCTCTTGTCATGCCCTGGTGTTAGGCTGGAAACTCTTTGAAAACCACTGATATGATTTTCATTTAAATGTCGGTCCAATTCATATATTTTCTGTTTACTGCGTGGAAAAGATATATATATATATCGTGGGTGGGTGTAAGCAATTTGAGCACGTTTTTCTAACCCCCGTGTGGCGAAATATTTTATTCAGCCATTTTGCTGAAAAGGCATGCGTGAGATTCGTAAAGCGCGACGCTGACGCGACTACATATTTTTTCGTGCAATAAATACGTAATAACTGTCATCACCAAACGATGTCGGCATTCGCATTTCAACATTATATAAACATGGAGGAATTCATGGAAATGGGAAACATCTTTTTTTATTTGGACAGTCCAAAAAGTTCAATCCTACAAAAGATACTGTGGTCTAATCAAATATATAGTTACATTACATAATGTTTTTATGCACGAAAATATCAAAATATTAATTATATATATATTTCCACGAAAGGAGATCGATATATACTTTAAAGAAAATCATGCAAGTTATTCCATATTTGATGCAAATGTCTAAAAAAGTTTTGTTATTTGTAACAATACCGATTATTAAATTCAGATATTAATTGACTTACAATATCTTTATTTGCATGATTCAAATTACATATGATGCTACAGAACATTTGATTTTGCGTTTACAATTTTTTACGTATAGCATATCTATATTTGAAAACACACATGTTCGTGATATATATATCTCACGTATTATATATTTGCCAATAATGATTCGACTTGATGTTTGCCAGAGGGTCCCTTTTGCCTAATCAAAAGCCGGTACTCATCAAACTTAACCGGTCTATAGAGAGCCGGTTCGTCTTCGGTTAACAGATCTTTGGCCGGTTCGATAGGTATATCACTTCTTGGGTTGTAGAAGAATGCCAGGGAAACTCTATCCTTAACCGAATTCACAATCACTCTATGCTCCACACTCTTGTAGATCCCATTGCTTATAATCTGATTCACATACAAAATGTATTCCATAACGTATATACAGTGTACCTGTATCCGTATTTTTATGTACTATTTCTTTGTTTTATAAGACCTACATGATATTTTAATTTCAAATACCGAAATAGTTTTCGAAACATTATAATATAGTTAATAATCGAAAAACCGAACTGAATTTATATAAAAACTTAATCCATTTGATTTTTATAAAATCTAATTTAAATCGAAATAAATTTGAATAAAAAAAACCAAATTTATATCGATAAATATTTAATCGAATTTGAATCCTAACAGAAACATAATTGACTCGAATTCAATAAAAAAAAAAACTAAATGGATAAGATTTCTCTAAAACTAAACCTAAATGGAGGCAGGATCGAATAAAATAATAATAAAAACTAATTTTTTAAAACAATAATTGTAATCAATAAAAACCAAATGGAACTTATTTTCAATATAAAAATCTAACTTAGATTGAATTCAATATAAAAATCGAATGGTTATAATTTGTTTAATACCGAAATAACCAAATCCAACATGAGTAAAACAGAAATCGAAATGGCCAACCCCTAATAGGGCCGAGACTCATACTAATATCAGAGCCAGGAGTAAAAACAGATGATTGGAATTATGCTCCCTTCTCCAATTTGAGGTTCGAACTCGGAGCGAAACGAATGTTTTTTATTCATATTTCACTGATTAAATTACCCAAATTGAATCATGATATTTATATATTACCTGGATTTGGTCTCCGATATTGACAATGAAAGCATTGGGGATGGGTTTAACCGTGACCCAACGGTCGAGGTGGCGGACTTGGAGGCCGGTGACGTTGTCGTCGGGGAGGAGAACGGTGATGCCACCGGGGTCGGAATGGGAAGAGAGGCCCAAAGTGAGGTCCGGTTGAGGGCATTTTGGGTAGAAATTTGTGCGGAGGCAGGCTCCCACCTTGTCTTCCCCTCCGAATGCCTTCATTAGATACTTCGGTTCCAACCCCAAACTCTCCGACAGTGTCTCCATCAGCCTCTCGCACAGCTTTCTCACTTCTTCTCCATATTCCCCTATTAGCTCTCTGTGTTCATATTTTTCACTTTTATATCAATCTTTATGCGATGATGCATAATTGCATATATATGTATATGTATATGCATATGTATGTATGTTTTAACGCATGTATGCATGCTTGCACGCTTATTGTATGTATAGAATAACTCTAGACAGACAATAATATATGCCGCGACCGTCCAAGATATATAATAACAAACTGATAGGAAAAATATAACATATCAGACAATTATAAAGAAAAAATCATTCCTTTAATTAAATCTACACCCTACGTACACTACATGCACGCATACTGTTCATCTCCTTGCATGTATATATATACACGAACGTGTTAGGATATGTATATATATACATACCCATATATAATCACGTGTGTATATATACACACATGCATATACGCACGTGTTTCCACATGCTAGACATTTAATAACAATATGTCAACACACACATACGAAAAGTATAACTTTTTTTAGATGGAGTTTCATTGGCTGCTACATATACGAGAGAGATAAATAAGAATTGTATTGTACCGTATATTCATACGAATGTATACGTATAATATACCTGATACGAGGAGGCTGAGATGGCCACTTGGAAGGGTTCATGAGAGAGGAAGGTGTGTGATGAAGGAAGAAGTAATCACTCCAATCCAAAACGGCACCTTTGTCCACACCAAGACGGCTTCCGTACCCTTCGTACGTCGCCGGAGAGTTCGCGAACCGCCGCTTCTCCTCCGCCGGCAGCCCGAAAAACTCCCGCCAAGATTCCCTCACGCACCCAAGCAGCGCGTGGCTCACACCGTGGTTCACCGCCTGGAAGAACCCCCACTCCCTGCACGCGTTACCCACGCGCCTCAGCGTCTCGATCCTCCTGCTGGGGTCGTGATCAGTGCTCCAGAGGTCGCTGAGATCCACCACTGGGATGTCCAATTCATCGTCGAACGGGTTTGTGCGCATAACCGGCCTCTGATTCGCCGGTTTCACGTACCGGTCCGGTACGGTGGTTATGCCTGTCTGGGACAGGGCATGGACCGAAACCACCGGCTCCGGCCAACTGATTCCAATCGTAGAAACCATGTTTTCTTAAATAATAGTTTTTTTTTTACAATAAATATGAAAAACAGGTGGGTTAGGTTTTGTGTGAAGAGAAGCGAGAACAAGTGAGGCCCTTAAATAAGGAGGCAAAGTTGAACAAGACAGAACGTGGAAAATATTAAACCTTGTCCATTCGGCGTAATCATGGACATTATGAGACATGTTTTTTTTTTTAATTTATTTTTTAAATGGAACCACGTACGTCGACATGATTTCTTTTAATTTTTTCTTTAATTTTTTTTCCCCAAAAGGTGACAGAGATGGGCAACGGATTTAGGGTTTGGCGCTGTGCGACAGTTTGCAACTCTGCCCCATCGAGTTTTATTAATTAATTACAAAAATTAAGCACGTTCTTGTGTTTAGTCTCTGTCTTTGTCCAATTTATGAGCATTTATTGGAGTGTTTTTTTTTCCTGTTTGATTGTGGCTCCTATGAGATAGGAATATAAAATACTTTAAAGTAAAACTCCACTTTACACCAAATATTTGTCCTCACTGATTAAT